TTGACATTTTTGCTGTGTGATTCTTCCACGTCAGTAATATACTTTCTTACAAAGTGCACCCACACATATTATATATTGTTTTTTAGAGGACAGATAGGGCTACATATTTATATCACATATGTGTGTCTAACGCCTCACTTAGGACAAATAAAATATAAAAAAAGAGAAAAAAAACACTTTTTTCCCAGTTTTGATTTGTAGTATTTTTTTTACAACACCAGCACAGCTAAAAAAATTCAATAAATACATTCATTTATTTGTCCCTTATTTTATTTATTTTTTTACACATTTTTTTTTTACACTTTTCACAATTTTTTTCTTTTTTTTACACTTTTCACTTTTTTTTAAACTTAAATTGTATTTTATTTATTTAATTATATCAAGCAGTCATTGTGAATTAATCTCACTGTTACTGCTTGATAAATTAATACATTTTTGGTTATTATCAGGCTGCTTCAAACTTCAGAACAGCCGATAATAAGTTAGTGACACTGATCCTGCAGCAGTTCAGGATTCAGCTGTCACTATAGGTTTTCTGATTGTTGCAACAACGATCAGCAAACTGAAACATTCTTCTTCCAGGAATAGATACATTATAGGAATAGACACATATACAGGGTGAAAAAAGGTTTATGTAAATTGTCAGAATAAAAATTAAGATTAGATCAAGTTGGGTTGACAAGAGCACAGATTAGCAAAATGGTGACCTTTTTCACAGACTTTTTCTAAAAATTTTAATTAAATTGCACTCACTTAAGTAAGCATTTGATGCTTGCACAATGATGATCATACAATATCATTGTTGTTACCTGGGGATTCATTTTGTTTATTTAAAAAAAAAATGTAAACTTTATTTTTCTTCATGAAGGGTCTGGATCTGGTCAGTGAAGACCAACTCATGCTGTGCAGCAGAAGATCACTTTTATTATCGACCTATTGCTGGCTACAATCATCCAGCAATAGTTCACTAAATCAGTGATCTACTGCTGTAGGATGAGGCTGGACAGAGCTGCAAGAGCTTTGTGTGAGCTTCCATACCAAAGGAAGTGTGATCACTCATGACGCCACTGCACGTCCAATGTTAACAGAATGCACTACAGTGTGCTCCTATGGAGTAATCTGTGGAAGCATAGGAAGCCCAGCTGATAATTTCACCTGCTGGGCTTAATTCTAGGTGTCACTGACAGCTGGTGATTTCAGACGGAACCCCCATTTGGACCACCACAGGAACTGCTAGTTCCCAATGCTGTTTTAAAATGGCAAAACTCTAATAGATAAAATGTGAACGCACACTGATACATTGTAACTAGTTGCAAATTTTTAAGCAACTAATTACATCTGCAACACAGTCATTGATCAAGTTTTTTCTTTCATTTTAAATAAAGAATATCGATTTAAAGCAGACCTGGGCTTGTGTGTTGAAGGGTAGGGTGTAATGAAAGGAACCTTTTCTGGTTTTTCCTACTTTTTTTCTTTTTATTATTTCCTAATGTTTTTGCAGAATGGTGTCTACTACATTGAAGTACATTGCATTTTAATGCACGGTCCATTAGAACAGGTAGGTTTCCCTGTATTCTTTTACAGGATGAGCTTATGCCTGTCTCCGATCCAGCGCTGACTCCACTCTCTTCCTGGCACTTCCTGTCACAGGGAGTCTGTGCGGGTGCACGCTGCCTCCATTGACTTATCCTGTGTCTCTCCTCGTCTCCCGGCCAAAGATCTATACTGTGCATGCGCCCACCCCAAGATCCTTTGTGGCCGCCCGAGATTTTTCAGATCTTCGGACGGAAGTGACGCAAACAGGTAAGTTTAAACCTTTTTCAAACCTTTTTGCATACATCTACTGCTTGCTTGCAGTAGATATATGCAAAAAATCCTGAGGGTTTAAATATGCTTTAAGGTCTGGTCTCTGTGGTGGCCAATCCATGTGTGAAAATGATCATCTTGGAATATGCCCGGGCCATCAGGGAAGAAAAAATCCATTGATGGAAAAACCTGATTATTCAATATATACAGGTAGGCAGGTAATCTCATTTTTTGGGAACATAACATTACTCAACCTAGATCTATTATCCAATGGAAAGCTCTTACTTATTTGATTGGCTAAATCCAGGTAGTGCCTTTTTTGGGGGGCAAGGCAGTATATTTTTTAGGGATGCACTGATACAGTTTTTTTGGTATCGAGTACGCGTACCGATACTTATATTTCGGTACTCGTCGGTACCGGTACTTCCGGTAGTATAGAGCCATCTTCCTGGGCAATCAGGAAGGCTTCTTGATTGCCCGGGAAGCCGACTCCATTCTGTTTGGCCAGCTGGATGCTGATTGGCCGGGAAGCCAGCTTCCCAGCCAATTGGCATCGAGGCCGGCCAAACAGATCTCACAATATGGTGACATGACCTGGCACCCGGCACCTAATTCCCCTCACATGGATCCTTAGCCACATTCATTAACATACTAGTCCCTCGGCCAGCGCTCTCCAAGTGGACAGACACCACACTCCAAGATCTCCCCACGTCTCCTGTGTACAGCGCCCACGTGATCGGCGCTCAGACTGCTAATGCACATGTGCAGACTGCCCAGCACTCTCATTCAGAAATCCTGTGCATGCGCAGTAGCAGGCTGAGCGGCGATCACGTGAGCGCTGTGCAGTGTGCACACAGTAGACGGCAGATCTGGCCGCGGGACTGGTAAGTTAAAGAATGCTTAGCATCTATGAGGGGAATTATGTGCCTGCAGGGTGGGGGTCGTGCTGCTATAGTATCAGATTTGTTTGCCCGGCTTGACACTGATTGGCTGGGAAGTCGGCTTGCCGGCCAATCAGCATGGAGCCGGCCAATCAGCATGGAGCCAGCTTCCCGGCTCCATGTTCCCTCGCGGCACTACCGGAGCATTTGCGCGAGTACGAGTACTCACCCAAATACTCGGTATAAGCACCGATACTAGTATCAGTATCGGTATATCTCTAGTATCTAGCCAACAAAAAGCTTTTAGTTCCAGGACATGATTCTGTGCATGAATTCCATAAGATTTGGACACACTTTGCGTCATGGAACTCTGACCAAACGTGTCTTATGATTTAGAGTCCTCAGACTCTGGTTGCTGTTGTACATGGTTTATTTTGGGCATCCCTACCTTATCCCTCCCCAGCACCCTCTCTATACCCTTCTCCCCATATCTTCCATCACTATACTGTTTTCTGGCTTTTCCTTCTGCTTTATCCCGGGATCCTATATAAATGACGGATGCAAATATAAACATCTGGGAGAATCAACTCCATCAAGAGATTTCCCCTTCACTCTTCCTCTGGTGACAACTGTGACATGTTACATCACGTCCTTCCCCAATGATAACAGTCACCAGGACAGGAAGTGATGCGTATCCTCTCCACTGGAGTCACAGACAGCAATAAAACAATGACAGGATTCTTCCCCTGGCTGGAGTTCCCCTTTAGAGCTCCCCGTGCCCGGACAGAGGCCTCGCTTACTCTTTTTTGCCATTGTGGAGAAGCTGTTTGGCCACTTCCCGCTCACGCTGCAGCTGTAGTGTGATCTTCTTCTGATACTGTTTCAGTTTGTCCCTCTGCTGCTTGAGTTGCTGAAATACAAAAAAAAAAACCCCAATATACAATGAAACCCTTTACTCTGAATACATGCACTGTTTGGTGTCAGAGACGCCCCCAGAAATGTCACTTCCTGCTTCTGTGATTGGCTCACTGGTTTTCTCTGAATGAAGTTACAAGTCAAATTTTAGGGCTTGTTCACACCGAAAGCGTGTGTGTTCCAGAGCGGTAGCTGCTGAACGCACCGCGATCGCCGAGAAACTTCCCCCCGCGTTTTGGGTTGGGAGGGGGCGTGGCGGTGCATTGAATTCAATGGCACCGCTTGCACGCCGCCGCCCCCAGTGTGATCAGACGCGTGGCAAAACTTTGCCAGCGTTGCGTTCCACTGCAAACGCAAAATATAGGGCTTGCTCCGCGTCTGATCGCACTGCCGGTGGGGTGGGAGGTGGAGTGTGGAAACGGTGCCATTGAATTCAATGCACCGCCACTGCCCCTCCCGGCCCGAAACGCGGGGGGAAGTTTCTCAGCGATCGCTGTGCGTTCCAGCAGCTACCGCTCTGGAACGCACACGCTTTCGGTGTGAACAAGGCCTTAGGCATCTCCTGTAATAGGAATTTCAGTTTTGGTGAGATAAGCTCTTAAAGTATCATTAAAGCCTCCGGTGTTTTTGCATATATATGTACGACTAGCAAGCAGTAGATATATGCAAAACGTGTCTTCCCCGCACGCTCCCGTCCAAAAATCTGAAAATTCTCGGGCGGCCGCAAAGCATCCTGGGGCGGGCGCATGCGCAGTTCACCATTTTCGGCCGGGAGACGAGGAGAGACACAAGGCAAGTCTATGGACGCGTGCACCCGCATGCAGACACCGTGGGACATGAGAGAAGAGGAGGGCAGGGGAGTCAGCGCCGGATCGGAGACCCGCCGCATCGATGGAGGGACAGGCGAAAAGTACGGGAAAGAAGATCGGATTAACAAACATCATTTAAGGTAAGTGCTTTCACTAACATTGGGGGAGGGAAAACATTTTTTGACTTTAATGTCACTTTAAGGGTTAACTTCTTCTAAAAGGATGCCGAAAACTGCAGCTTTCCTCATCAGAACACACTGAGATCTCACCAGGTGGTTATAATGATTGCAGACCCTTCTATTCTTCTGCAACCAGACCCCGCCCGTACAGCTACCAAACCCCACCCGTACAGGAACCAGGCCGCGCCCAATTCGGAACCAGGCCACGCCCAATCCGGAACCACACCCCTTCCCATTCAGACATCAGTCTAGAAAGGACACAGTGAAACAAACAGTTAAATCTTCAGAAATGAAACATTTCGGAATCTGGTAGGGCTGTGGAAATGAAAGATTAATTTCTTGATTAATCGTTAAACTTTTTGATCGATTAAAATTATTTTGATCGCCAACGAAAACACTCAGCTCTCCGCCGGCTTCCGGGAGTCCCGTCGGATATCCGGTGACGCCATGGACATCGACGTCACCGGACTCCTCCCCCCCTTCCCCAAGTGGCTCCGTCGGCTAACGAAGGGAAGGGGGGGAGGAGTCCGTCGATGTCCGTGACGGCTAACGAAGGGAAGGAGTCCGGTGACGTCGATGTCCGTGACGTCACCGGACTCCTCCCCCCTTTGTTAGCCGACGGAGCCACTTGGGCCCAAGAAACTTTCTGCACCAGCGCCAGCCAAGGCATTGGCCTATACACATACAGCACAGCAATGAAGTCATAAAATGAAATAGGATCACACTTATCCAGCACGTTATTAATCTCGCGTGCCCCACTCAATATGGCCGCCGCTTCAGTGGGGCACGCGAGATTAATAACGTGCTGGATGAGTGTGATCCTAGTTAATTTTATTACTTCATTGCTGTGCTGTATGTGTATAGGCCAACGTAGTTGGATCTGTATGTGCGTTATAATCGAAATTAATCGGTTAAAAAAAAAAAAATTTGATTAATCCAACACGAAAATGTTAATCATCACCAGCCCTAGAATCTGGTGGTTATAATGGATGCAGACCCTTCTATTCCGCAATCGGACCCCGCCCTTACAGAAGCCACACCCCGCCCATTCTGCGACCAGTCTGGAAAGGACACAGTGAATTCTTCAGAACAGAAACATTTCAGAATCTGGTGGTGATAATGGATGCAGACCCCGCCCATTCAGGAGCCAGACCCCACCCTTTCAGGAACCAGTCTGGAAAGGACACAGCGAATTCTTCAGAACAGAAACATTTCGGAATCTGGTAGTGATAATGGATGCAGACCCCGCCCATTCAGGAATCAGACCCCGCCCATTCAGGAATCAGACCCCACCCTTTCAGGAACCAGTCTGGAAAGAACACAGCGAATTCTTCAGAACAGAAACATTTCGGAATCGGCAACAAAGTTTACCAACATCCTTGTAATGTACATTGATCACACAGAGGGGGGAATGATTCTTCTCACCAAATAGTGGACAAGAAAAGGTTTTATTTTGGGGAGTGCCCCTTTGGTACCCGAGTGTGAACTGTGCACTAGCAGCAGATTGGTGGAGGTTATTATGGGATGTTAGTTGAAGATTATCTCACACTGATCTATATGTGAGCGTCACTTCCTGACAAAGAGATTAGAAACTAATCCAGACGAAGTGCTGTTCTCGCAGAGTGCTGAGAGTGAACCTGTCATTGGGACACATTGTATAAACTGATATTATTATGTCACAGTCTATATACAACAACCTCAGCTGATTAAATCTCACCTCCAGAAGACATTCAATTATACAAATACTGACTTTGTTGCGCGTCAGTATTTAGGCACCGGCACCCGCATCCCATCCCCCGCGGACCTGCAGAACTTGTATGAAAATCAGTACTACCCAAACCTGTCTGGGGCTGTTGGTAAGGGAGGAGGGTGGAATGGTGGGTCCATGGCTGTTGGTAAGGGAGGAGGGGTGGAGCTGCTGGTAAGAAAAGGTGGAATGGTAGGCCTGGGGCCGTTGGTAAGGGGTAGGGGGTGAATGGAGGGTCCGTGCTGATGGTAAGGGGTGGAATGGTGGGCCTGTAGCTGTTGGTATAGGAAGGGGGTGCAATGGTGGGCCTGGGACTGTTGGTAAGGGGTGGAATGGTGGGCCTGTAGCTGTTGGTATAGGAAGGGGATGCAATGGTGGGCCTGTAGCTGTTGGTATAGGAAGGGGGTGCAATGGTGGGCCTGTAGCTGTTGGTATAGGAAGGGGGTGTAATGGTGGGCCTGGGGCTGTTGGTAAGGGGGAGGGGTGGAATGGAGGGTCCGTGCTGATGGTAAGGGGTGGAATGGTGGGCCTGGAGCTGTTGGTAAGGAAGGGGGTGGAATGGTGGGTCTGTGGCTGTTAATAAGGAAAGGGGTGCAATTGTGGCCCTGGGGCTGTTGGTAAGTGGTGAAATAATGGGTCTGTTGGTATGAGGAAATGGCAAATGTAGGGATTGCAGTAAGGGGGAGGGGCCAGTCTAGGGCTGTTAGTGAGGTGCAAAGAACTGGTGTGGGCCTGCCAGTATGGGGCATTTGGGAAATTGTGCTTTTGTGCCTATCAGTATGGGGGGCATTGGTGGTCAGTGTGGGTCCGTTGGTAAGGGCAAATGACTGGTCATTTGGCTGTCATTTGGTGAGGGGCACACATCAGGCTGGGGTTGACGTGGGGCTGTTTCTAAGGGAAGTGGCTGCCTAAGAGGAGTGGCAGGCATGGGGCTGTTGCTAAGGGGAGGAGTCAGTGTGGGTCTGTTTCTAAGGAGAGGACTGTCAGTATGATAATTGTAACAAGTGAAGGTAAGGCAGTGAAGATGGGTGTAGGCGTTGACTGGGTGGCAAAGCCGGGTGTAGGTAGTGAATACTTCTCACCAGCACAGCCTTGTCCTGCTCGGTAACCCGGCTCCGTCTCTTCCGCCCAAATATATTGCCCATAGTGGTGCCCGCCGGGCGGCCTCCTCATCGCCTCTTGCTCTGCCACTTCCGCCTCCCGCACGGCGGCCGAGAAGGAACAATCCAGACAGGTGACGTCACCGCGCTATGCAGGCCGGGAAGTGCAGTCCGCCGCTGGTCGAACTCATTGCTGGGCGGGGCTACGCTTCCATCCGCAGGTGAAGAGCCTAATAGGTGACGTCACCTTAACCCGGACCAACCCCACCCCTGTTTCCCCCTATACCGCCATAAATGTGAGAGAAACCTCTGAGGGGAGTGCGGGGGCTCTGACTGAGGGGCTTCTGGAGTCATGTGTTTTTAGACAAACCTTTTATTCGGGTTGGCGTAGATTGGAGTCCCTGTCGGGCTTTTTTGTGGCTTTATTTGGGAACATTTCTTTCACTTGGCTTGGTGAACCTAACATAGTGTCACCAGCGGCAGCACAGGAAGTGTTCATAGAGACAACAGGAAGTGAAAGTAAAAAAGTGAGGTGAGATCCCACCCTAGACACCGGAACGGGTGTCCCCATTAGGATATTTCACCTCGCCCCGTTTTGGTGACACCTGTAAGGTTTTGGGGGAATCATTGACAATGAGCGGGACGTATAGAGAGGGTGAAGAATCTCCCCAGTCAGCGATAAAACATGGCAGGGGACCCAACACTTCACACTCCATGCAAAACTACATAAAGATGGCTACATATTCACTTCATGTCCTTCCATGGGTAAAGGCAGCGTGCTTCCTTCATCCTTCCATAACCCCCCCTCCCCGTGATCTATTCCCAGAGACTTGTATGAGGAGAAGCAGCACTGAGGGGAGCCGAAACCCAAAACTGACCCGAAACTAGGCCCTTCCATTAGAGAGGTCCCCGTCTATACGGGATTGCTGCCGATACCTTTCCTCTTCTCCCAGTCCCTTCTCCCTCCTTCCCCTTCTCCCTCCCTCTCCCTCCTTCCCTTCTCCCTCCTTCCCTTCCTCCCTCCTCCCCTTCCTCCTCTCCCTCCTTCCCTCCCCCCCCTCCC